TTTTCCGGAAAACTTTTCCGTTATAAGCATTTCTGGAAAATAATGCCAGTGTAGATGTAGCCCACATGTTTACTTTTACACACACAGTAAAGAAACTGAATCAGCAGATTATAACATGGAGATATACCTATATCATAGTACAGGAAGGGACCTTTGAGAGGCCATCATGTCCAGCCTACTGCAGGACCAAGTACCTTCCCTGACAGATTTTCTCTAGATGTCCCATTCAAGGATGGGGCTCACAACCCTAGGCCTAGCAGACCAACACACAAGCCACTGAGCTATCCCTCCCTCCAGGAGTGATGGGTTATACAAAATCATTTGTTCAAAGCACCTTTGAGTTATGTATATTCATGTCTGGAGAGGGCGTTGGTCCATCACAGCAGCAAATTTGGAGGTGAAGGCAATCGAAAAGGGATGGAACTTAAAAGTAGGAAATTTTGGCTCATAATATTGGAGTCCATGCATCATCCAGGCTATGAAGGAGAGAAAGAGTCACCGACAGTTTCTCTCCCTCATCACACCCACGCTGCCCTGGGGCTGTGGAGCAGGGAAGCCCCTCAGCTAGAGCTGGTACCTGTAAGTGCTGAGAGGGACGTGTCTTCCCTGGAACCCCCCTCAGACAGCTGCATCCCGCACCTCTCTCAGCCCAGCGTCTGCAGCAGCGTCCCACGCCAGAGCAACACAGGGGTTGCACTGTGAATAATATAGATCTGGGCCGTCCTAGAAGCAATTGCTCCACCCCTAAGGGAGAAGCAGCATCCGAATGTAAAGAGGCTGGAGACCAGCCTGTCTGGTCTTCTGAGCTGTTTGTTCTGTTTTAGAAGCAAACAGCAATTAAGGGCCTTTACCAAAGGACGAGGGGAACTCCTGGGCTCTGGGCTGAGTCAGGGAGGAATTGGCTGCTCTGTGCACTTGTGTAAAAATTATAGTTGATTTGGAAGAAAATTAGAGTGAATGTTTATTTCTCCATTGAGTCAGGTACTCTGGAAATGCCCAGCATAGATTGGTGGATCTACAGATGTGGACTGAAATGCAAAGCAATAAATGCTGGAAAACATAATCCCTATGATGTGTAATGGAGACTAAGGATACATCTACACAGCAAAATTATTTTGGAATCACTAGCATTATTTCGAAGTAACTTAGTCCACGTCTACACAGCAGGCATTATTTTGAAATAATGTTGAAATAGTCAAGCTGGAGGACTTCGTGTTCCAACTCCTTTAACCCTCATTGAACGAGGAGTAAAGGAAGTCGGAGGAAGAGTGCTCGAGTTTGAAATAAGTGTTGTGTAGATCCTCCCAATTTCATAGAATCATAGAACTGGAAGAGACCTCAGAAGGTCAAGTCCAGCCCTCTGCTCTAGGCAGGACCAATTCCAACTAAATCAACCCGGCCAGGGCTTTGTCAAGCCAAGACTTAAAGACCTCTAAGAATGGAGACTCCACTACTTCCCTAGGGAACCCATTCCAGTGCTTCACCACCCTCCTAGTGAAATAGTTTTTCCTAATATCCAATCTGGACCTCTCCCACCACAACTTGAGCCCATTGCTCCTTGTTCTGCCATCCCTCACTACTGAGACCAGCCTCTCTCCATCCTCTTTGGAACCCCCCTTCAGGAAGTTGAAGGCTGCTATCAAATCCCCCCTCACTCTTCGCTTCGAAATAAGCTATTTTGAAATAAGCTACGCAATTGACGTAGCTCAATTTGCATAGCTTATTTCGAGTTAAGCCCTGCAGTGTAGACTCACCCTAAATCAGCAGATATCGTTCAAGAATTTTCGCGATCGGGGCTTTTTTGCGGAAAAGACTACTGTGCTGTCTACACTGGCCCTTTTCTGGAAAAAGGACTTTTGCCTGAACGGGAGCAGCAGAGTTTTTCTGGAAAAACACTGACAATTTTACAGTAGATCGTCAGTGCTTTTCCAGAAATTCAAGGGGCCAGTGTAGACACAGCCATTAGGTTTGGAAAAAGTGAATAATCAAAAGTTATTTACTTGTTTCCATAATATAAGAACTAGGAGGTCACCAAATGAAATTAATAGGAAGCAAGTTTAGAAAAAACAAAAGGAAAGGTTTTTTAACGTAGTGCACAGTTAACCTGTGGAACTCCTTGCCAGAGGATGCTGTGAAGATCAGGACTTTAACAGGGTTCAAAAAAGAACTAGATATATTCTAGTTAGGCTAGGTCCATCAATGGCTCTTAGCCAGGATGGGCAGGGATGATGTCCCTAGCCTCTGTTTGTCAGAGGATAGAAATAGATGATAGGAGAGGGATAACTTGATGATTCCTCCTTCTGGGGCCACCTGGCATTGGCCACTGTCGGCAGACAGGATTTTGGACTGGATGGATCTTCGGTCTGACCCCATCTGGCCATTCTTACGTTCTTAAGTAATTTTTCACTGTTGGTATTCTCAGCGTCCTGTCCTCACGCACCCTGATGTTGCTCTTTCTCTCTGTATCCCTCTACCTGTTTCTTTCTCTTTCTCTTTCTCTTCGTGCATCTGACAAAGTGATTTGCATCTTCTGCAATGTGTCAATCGATGCGCCGTCTTTTTCCCCCCAAGAGAACACAGAGACCACATGACCAGTGGGTTTGGCACAAACGGACAGGGGCGACATGACTCCTCGGGAAGTCCTCCTGCTTGGCGCGCGAGTGATTGATGGCGGGGTGAGCCTATGTGACCTGTGTTTATAGCTTCGTGTTGCTTCATGCTGAGTTCAGCTCTGGCCGCTACAGTTCCACGCTGACCAGAGTGAAAATCACTTGCTTTGGTGTTGGTGTCTCTAGGAACTCATACCAACCAAGGGCCATGACACTCATCAGTAGAAGGCCTAGTCTACTGTCTACGTCTTATTGAAGTTACAGTTACCCAAGTATATACAATTTCTGTACAGACCTGCGACCCCATTACAAATACAGTCATACTCACACTTTGATAACAGTGTCAGGGTCCAAAGTGTCACCCATGGCTTGATCTCCAGTAGACGAGGGGTTCCTGCTGGAGTCTCCCCTAGAGCGAGTTCAATTTTTCGAGTCTGGACACCCCCTTTTTATACGGTGAGTCTGCCTATTCTCAGCATGTCCATAACAGTGTCCAACCTCTTTTATCTCATTGGTCTCTGTCCTCTGGAAATGGAAGGGACTCCAATTTCCCTCAAAAATAATGAGTCCGGTAGCACCTTAAAGACTAACATGTTTCTTTAGGCATATGCTTTCATTGACTGGAGCCCACTTCGTCATAAGAACATAGGAACAGCCAGACTGGGTCAGACCAAAGGTCCATCTAGCCCAGTGTCCTGTCTGCCCACAGTGGCCAATGCCAAATACCCGGGAGGGAGTGAACAGAACAGGGAATTGTCAAGTGATCCCTTCCCTGTAACTCATTTCCAACCTGACAGAGGCTAGGGATACCGTTCCTACCCATCCTGGTTAATGAGTAGCGATAGATCTAACCTCCAGGGCTACGTCTAAACTGGCATGATTTTCCACACATGCTTTTAACGGAAAAGTCAACCTGTGGAACTCCTTGCCAGAGGATGTGGTGAAGACTAGGACTTTAACAGCATTCAGAAAAGAGCTAGATAGATTCATGGAGGTTAGGTCCACCGCTGGCTATTAACCAGGATGGGTAGGATTGGTGTCCCTAGCCTCTATTCGTCTGGAAATGGATGACAGGAGAGGGATCATGTAACAATTACCTGTTGTGTTCCCTCCCTCTGGGGCACCTGGCATTGGACACTGGGCTGGATGGACCTTTGCTCTGACCCAGTGTGGCTGTTCTTATGTTCTTATGTAATTTCAGGATTCACTGGTGTGGTGTCCTCACAGGTTTCCTGCTCCATCAGTGATGATAAACGTTCATCTGAGTGCATGTTCGTAGGCTCTCTCAGTATATCGTGCCAGCTCTGTGCAGGTAACTAGCACAATAGGTTTAAAGGAAGCCCCCAAAGTCCACAGACTCAGATAAGATACGAAGGCACCCGAGTCAGGTGTGTTGTGAAGCAACATTTGTCAGTAATCAGACATCCCCTGAGCCCCTATGCATTTGGACCCGTGACAATGGATTCTGCTCAGTCATTAGTATGGATCCTTATTACCTTCTAGGCCAGACTAAGCGTTAATCTGAGGTAGCCCAACATTTACAGATGCATGTTATCATTTGGGTGTCCATTTGTCTCAGGGTGTCCTTCTCCTGTCCTGCTGGAATGTACTTACATATTTCATGTGCTATCACAGTGCCGAGTTCATGCCCTGGACACTGACTTGCAGGCAAACATCTGCTTTTGACAAGGCCTGTCTATCACTCTTGCTGACTTTGGTTCAGGTCTCAGGCCTTCCACCAGGCCCATGACTCAGGCTCTTCCTTTCTCCTTCACCTGCCTTCCATCAGGAGGAACCAACGGGAAATGGGAGCTAATGAAATGAGCCACACAAAGGTCTCCTCCTTCAGGACTTTGGAGCTGTGTGTTAGGCCCATACACTGTATCATGCTCAGCCTCTCCACCTGCCACACAGCCCCAACCCCCTGTTGCCTGTCTTCCTCCTCCGCTCCTTACTGACTTCTTGGCCTCAGAACTGCATTTTCCCTGCCCTCACAGCAGTCTCCTTGTCAGGCTGCACCAGCCCCCAGTCCCTCCCCGGAGCCAGGGAGCCCAGGTGAGGGGGAAGAAGGTGGTAAATCATCCAGGGAATGGTGGGGGAAGGAAGGACAGTAGAAAGTGGCAGGGGCCTTGAAGGAAGAGGCAGGACAGGGGGCAGGATCTCAGGGGTTCAGAGATGAGGGATTATGGAGGGGAAATCCATATCAATGAGTGAGCTGTACACAATAGGATTACCCAGGTGGCCACGCTGACACAGCACAGTGCAGTCAGGAAAGGGTTGAATAGATTTTTGATGGCCCAGTCAGGGATTCAGAGAAGAGGGCCCTCCACCCTGTTGCTACCCAACTCTGCAAAGAGCTCTGTTGGAGAGGCAGAGCTCCTGGAGAAAAAATTAGGTTTCTTTATGAGTAAAAAGGCGGAGCAGGCTGTCCCGGATCTGTTTGGTCCGCACCCCATAGATGATGGGGTTTAGTGTTGGGGGCACCAGCAGGTACACATTGGAAAGGAGAACGTGGAAATGTGGAGCCACGTTATTGCCAAAGCGGTAAATGAGGGAGGAGAAAAGAGCTGAGATGTAAAAGGCTAACATAACACAGAGGTGGGAGCCGCAGGTCCCAAAAGTCTTGAGCCGGGCATCCTTGGTGGGGAGGCGGAAGATGGCCCTGAGGATCTGCGCATAGGACAGAGCGATAAAAAACACGTCCAAACCAATCACAGAGAATACCACAAAGAGCCCATAGTATCTGTTGATGCGGATGTCGGCACAAGCCAGCTTCACCACGGCCATGTGCTCACAGTGGGTGTTGGGGATGATGTTGGTTGTACAATACGGCCACATCCTTGTCAAGAGGAGATATGGAAGTACGAGGATGCCACCCCGCAGCACCACAGCCAAGCCAATCTTGGCCACGACTGGATTTGTGAGGATGGTGGAATGTCTCAGGGGATCACAGATGGCCACGTAGCGATCCAAAGCCATGGCCACGAAGATTCCCGACTCTGTCACTAAAAAGCAGTGAACGAAGTACAACTGGGTGAGGCAGGCACTGAAATTTATCTCCTGGGAACTGAACCAGAAAATGCTCAGTGTTTTGGGCACAATGGATGTGCATAGGATCAGGTCGGTGATGGCCAGCATGCAGAGGAAATAATACATGGGCTCATGGAGTCTTGGCTCTGTCTTCACAATGTATAGGATGGTGAAGTTCCCCAAGGTGGCGATAATGTACATGATGCAGAAGGGGATGGAGATCCAGACATGGGCTGTCTCCAGGCCAGGGATGCCCTGCAGGATGAAGACGGAGGGGTTGGTGAAGTCGGTTGTGTTGGAATCTGCCATGGAGAAGAGGAGAAGGTGTCCAACTCTGAGGCAAAACGATGGCTTCTTCATGAACCGTGCATTGACCTGACTTCCTGTAGGTTGTCAGTGTCTAAGCTGAAGAACACATTGCATATACCTGGATGGAGACACAATGTTACTACATGTTACTACATGCACAATTGGAGTCTTTCCTCATGGTCTCGTTTCACAGACTGTAAAATGACTGTTACTTTATTTGGAGAAATTAATTATAAACAATTGACCCTGCTAATGCCACATCCATATTTGATGGTGGTCTGTGCATCAAAGGGTATGTCTAGACTACAGGCTTTTGTTGATGGAAGTTCTGTCAACAGATACTGTCGACAAAGCTTCTGTCAACAAAGAGCATCTAGACTACATCCAGTTCTGTCGACAAAGCAAGCCACTTTGTCGACATGAGAGTGTAGATGAAAAGGACAGTGTAGATTCAATAATGCCTTCTGTCGACAGAACTCTGTCGACAGAAGGCGTTATTCCTCGTAGAATGAGGTTTACAGCCGTCAACAAAACTGCTGAGTTCTGTCGACGTTATGTCGACAGAACTCAGCGGCAGTGTAGACGCAGGTATAGTTTTGTCAACAAAAGTCCACTTTTGTCGACAAAACCCTGTAGTCTAGACACACCCAAAAAGTTCTACACGTCATGGTTTGGTGAACCCTTCCTATACCTGTAGGAAACACAAGTAGGAATTGCAATTGAATCTTGGGTTAAGGAATCTGTGCTCTAGGGTGTTCCACATTCACCCCATTGCTCAAAATCTGAGAGTGGAAAAATAATCTTTGCCATGATATGTACCAGAGGGAAACTTCCCAACCAGAACTCATCTCAGGAAAAAGACCTGGGTGTCTCCTAGCAGTTGAATGGAAACACCTCTTTCTATGCACTAGAAAGCAAAATATAATCTTGGGATACCTAAGGATTGCGGTGGGGAAAAATCTGCTCTGGGCACATGGTGATTTTGGTCACCCAGTCCCTATAAAGGATATAGCAGATAGAAAGAAAGACGGTCGGTAGGAATAGGGAAGGCTGCCATATGCAGACAGTTTGAAATGTCTGGGGCTGTCCAGTTCAGAGAAGAGACACAGAAGAGGACATATGACAGAGGAAGGGAGAATAAAGAATGGAATTAATTGCCTAAGGTAGACTGAGAACAATTCCCAACTGGTAACATTTATAGACACTTGGGTTACGTCGACATTGGCAAGTTTTAGTGCAAATACTTTTAACGCAAGAGTTTTTGTGTTAAAGTATCTGCTCAGAGAGCACTGGAATGTGTTTTTGCACAAGAGATGTGCTTTTGCACAAAAGCATCTGTGCCAGTGTAGACACGCTCTTGCACAAGAAAGCTCCGATGGCCATTTTAGGCACCGGGCTTTCTTGTGCAAGAAATTCATGTTTCCTGTCTACACTGGCCTCTTGCACAAGAATAGTTGCGCAAAAAGTCTTTTTCCTGAGCAGGAGCATCATCGTTCTGGTGCAAGAAGCACTGATTTCACACATTAGAACATCAGTGTTCTTGCGCACGAACTCCCCGCCAGTGTAGACAGGCAGCAAGTTTTTGCGCAAAAGCGGCCGATTTTGTGCAAAATCATGCCAATGTAGACACAGCCTTAGTGCTTCAAAAGGGACTGGTTCCGCATATCTGAAGTAAAAAAAAAAATAGACCAAAAAACCAGGAATGAAATTTGGAAGTTCTTGAAAAAGAGTTTATTAAACAGCACAAAAGATCACCTTCCATAGTCAAGATAGTGGACAGTTTTGGGTGAAAACCTGTATTATTGCTAAAGTTGAGGTGTAACCCGCACATATTCTGGGTGTTGTACACTATCCCATTTAGTGACATTTAAACCACCTACAGAGACAATAATGAGTCTGCTTTACTGCCTTTGCTGGAAGCCAGCTGGCTTTTAGTTCATGCTGTAGAGCAGTGGTTCCCAAACTTTTTTGTATCACACCCCCTTTTTGATTTTTGAGACACCCTCGCTCTCCCCCACCCCAGTAACAGCAAAACTTGTTGAGTAACAAAAAACGGAACTGACCGGGGCCAAAAAAACAAAAATAGCAGCAAAACTTAGGGTGGGGATTGATGGCGGGGAAGGAGTCTGGGTCACCTCCTGCCCCCCCTGGAATTTCTTCATGCCCCCCAGTTTGGAAACCCACGATGTAGAGGTTCATGAACTAAATCCAGAGGTCTTAGGTTCGATTCTGCCTGTCGACATTACAGAAGCAGAAATTTTAAAGAAAAAATATAGATCAAAAGGGAAAATAGTAAGCAACATAACTAGGAAGTTATGAAACTTGATAAGGCATGTTAAAGATACTGAGGAAATTCCATGCTTCGCAGGACTACGTATCACAAAAAAGAAGTTATTTAGTAAATTAAGAACAAAGGAATCCTAGAAAAGGGGTTAGGTCAGCTTCTAGAGGGTGAAAGGAATCTTGTTAATCTGTCTGAAAAGATAGACGTGTTCAAGAAATGCATTTTTCTTCATTGGCAAATATGCAGAGTAAGGTACACATATCACAGTGACAGAATGCGTTTAAGTCTATTAAGTATGAAAGAGTAGAACCTTAAACTGACATACACCAGAGTTACCGACTGTCCACACAACTGCACATCTCATTCAGAACCGGAAGGGTGCAATGAGGCAGCAAAGCAAAAAAATAAAATAAAAAAAAATGAAAAGGCAAATATAGGAATCATAGAACCATAGAGCTGGAAGAGACCTCAGAAGGTCGTCAAGTCCAGCCCCCTGCCCAAAGCAGGACCAATCCCAACTCAATCATCCCAGCCAGGGCTTTGTCAATCCAAGACTTTAAAACCTCTAGGGATGGAGATTCTACCACCTCCCTAAGAAACCCATCCAGTACTTCACCACCCTCCTAGGGCAGTACTGTGTTAAAGAGAAAACTAAATAAAGATGAAAGGAATTTAAGAAAAATTATGTTACGAGATTATGAAACAATGGAAAAGCTGGCATAGGTTTTGTTCAAAAAAGATAGGAATGTTATTGATGGCCGTCAACAACATGGATTGTGGGAAAAAGCTTGCCAGTTTCATCCATACGTTAGAGAACATGTTTAGTTCACCAGGGAAATGGTAAACATGCAATAGACTTTGATTTCTGGGAGGCATTCCATTTAGTGACAGAAAACATCAATATTAAAAATTAAACACTATAAAATATGGTTTGAGCACATTTTAAATGGCCCCAAAAAGTGGCTAACTTAAGAGACCTTGGAAAACAGCTGTAAAAAGGCCGGTGTCTGCGAATGGGGCTGTTTCTAGGGGGAGTCTACATGGATCAGTTCTAGACCTGATGCTAGCCAA